TCGGTTTTTTTTTCCCCATTAAAACCCTGAGCTATAGTTCTACCTTTTCTATCTATGTATCTGCCGTGTCGCAGTTTCCAGTCTCTCTCGAACCACAGGAAGCGATATCTATTAGCTTGCAGTCTCTCTCGAACTAAAAATTTTCTCAAGAATCCAAAATGGCGGATACTTCGCCGATGACAAAACTATCAAAAACTTTCAATAAGAAATACCAAAAGCTTTCTCATTGAAGAATTGAACTAGGATTTCGTATTTGTGAAGTTTCAAGCTTGCTAGTTATCATTTTGCAGTAAGACGATTTTGCATCGAAACTATAGTCTCGCCTTCCTCACCGTCCAGCTCGATGGAAATATTCAGTACAGTTTCAACATGAAATCAGCTCAAAATCGGTTTTTTTTTCCACATTAGACAGCAAAAGGTATTTTTCTGTTTAAATGACAATGTTTTCATTGTTCAAATTCAAAAATTTCTTTAATATCATCGGGTTTTTTTATTAGTTAAAAATGACAAAGTACAAGTTTTGAAACTTTTGAAAGTTTTGTACGAAAGAAAGGCTAATAAAAACGCAAACTTTAAAGAATGCAACCATGCAATCTAAAATGCATTGCTAAGCTCGACCGCATCACGCTTTGCAAGCGTCTAGTTTTTGTATAATCCTGTGTACTCACTTGCGTACTAAATTTGTGTAATACGTTTCTTAAAAAAAATTCAATGCAAGGAAAAATAAACAAATACAAAAACAGAGTTGAATACCAATGCTTTCGGGGTATTTCACAAGATAGTCCAACTCTAGTTTCCAGGCTCATACATGTTCAGATGAGCGTTGAAATCCCTGCTCTTCACCACGCTTCGAAAACAATTCATCAAAATACCGACACCCCAGGGCAATCTTGCTGTTAAAATCTTGCACGTTAAAATCTTGTCACGTCCGTTCAGTGCCCAGCTAGTCCCAGGGTTCGGGTTGCGGGAGTCTCAATTGACTAGTGAATAACATTCCACAAAAAGTGAAGTTCTAACCGATTTTCAAAACCTCCAAATTTTTTTTTGTTAAGTTTCTCAGTTCATTTGCGCCATAAACCTGGAAAGCAAGGAAGGGGTGTGTTGTAGGATAAGTAACGAAGGATTAATGTCCGAAACATCAGCAAGTTATCGCACCTATACTTTTTATGGTGTTAAAAATCTTATCTGACATAGCAACTGTTTCTTTAGAAACACCGGCAAAGCTTACACCAGTTTATCGCTAGATTCCATTCTTTTCTAGTCATGTATAGTTGTTTGATAACAATAAGAAAAAAATGTCGTCTACACGAGTAGCCTGCGTAGCGGCCCTCTTTCCTCGTCCACAGGGATCCCATTTTGATTTATTGAAACAATGTAAATGTCTGCTTTTGTTTTTGCGTTTGATTGAGCTGTTTTGGGTTTCCGGTTTTGATTTTGTTTTGTGTTTGTCGTCTGATGTGACTATGTATATGTATTCTGGATATTTTGCTTCCTAGGAATAGTTGACGACTGGTTAAGCTTGTTAACTTGTCGGTATTTACAATATACAGCTAGTTCAAAAAACGTTGTCGGGGAGCTTGGCGAACGGCGATTGTCGAAGCGAGATTGCACGACCGAGGGACAATGTTTACACTGTTTTGATAAACAAAATTTCACCTATTGGATTCATATTACATTGAAATAGAGACTAAATGGAGCCAATGTTTACCACAAACCATCTTACAGTATAAATCAGTTGTTATTTCATTTCACTAAGCAAAACCCATGACTACTTTCGGTCGTGCAATCGCCGTTCGACAATTGACATTCACCTTTTTTGAAATAGCTATATAACTACACGCTCTTAGAGCGTGAAGTCGGGCTGCATAGCTATTTTTGAAAATTGAGAAAGATAGGATATTACATGGGTGTGCGTATAGGCGAATGAGTGGAAGGTTTTACACACGATAAGAATATGATGTAAGGGACCGTGTAATGATTACCAGGAGGGGGGGGCGTAAAACCAGAGGGGGAGGGCATTACATAAAATTGATGGCAAGATAGGAGGGCTCAAAGTAAAATTACCTAATTAACAGAGGGGGGGCCTCTTAAAAGTTTTAAAAGTTTAAAATTTTATTCAAAATTTTCATAATTTTCGATGTCTCTCAAAATGCTGGAAATCGCATTTCCATGAGTTATTGCTTTCAAATTTTCATTTTTAATAATAATAATAATAATAATAATAAACTTTATTAATCACACCCTTAAAAAAGGTTTTTCAGAGATTATTTACAAATAAAAAGAAGGAAAATATACATATAAATATATCAAAAGATAGATTAAAATATATATACATTTTACACATATTTACAACAGGGACTCTTGAAAATCTTTTAAAAAATTGGTTTTAAGGTGTCGTTTAAAATGTTTGATTTCTAAACGTTTTGTCAAAAACGGAGGACCAGACTCCCTTAATATTCCCGCCTTGGCGTTGGTTAGACCCCCAGATCCAAAATATAGGTCGTGGTCCCTGACATGTGCATAAAATTAAGTCCACGCTACGCGCCTGACTAATTGAAATCTAAATCCAAAGACTCGTCGATGTGTGATTGAAATTGACCAAGAAATGATTTTATACATAACATCAAAAAATTATTTGAAAGAAGCAAGGGCACCACATTTGCATGTCAGCTCCTCCTGAAAGTCTTTGTCTTGGTTCTAACTAATTTTCTGCTTATGAAATCTGGTTTCCCCCCTCCCTCCCCCCGATAATTATTGCACAGTCCCTAATATTCTCTCTATCATATGATTATATATGACTGTAAATTATGGCGTAGAATATATATTTTTTACTTCTGATACATAGTGAAAGCAAGAATTCGTCACCGGCTTTCACTTTAATTAATGTACTGTACAAAATTCTACTAATTGTTTATTCACACGCTGCGATTTTCTTTTTTGACGGCTTGCTGGAATGACGTCAAAACTATAGATTTATCGACCCACGAAAAATATCCTGTCTTTCTTTTTTTTTACAAATATAGACCGACTTCATGCTCTTAGTTTCGTAAGCTTACTACTGTAAGCTCCATGGGATCCGCACATGAGCGTGCTTTTGATGCCTAGACTGATGCATTCCAATGAGATCACAGATACCACATTTATAAACGAATAGCTTTTTTATCACATAAAAGCGCAAGTAGCATCAGCAGTTATTAACGATGCTCATACATCTACAACGTTCGAGCTTCCGGTCTTGTAATAACACATTAAACATATAATGTTATAATAAGAAATAATGTAGCAATGTGTGAAATAACGTGTGCAAGTAAATTTGAAGTGGAAATTATTCAATCAAAAATATGCAATATAACTTTTTAACGTTAAGAATCTCGTTCACGCATTAGGATTTGGTGAGCTATGGTCTACTGGATACCATTCCATATTGCGAAGCCTAATAAGCACTTATCAATTGAGCAATTTTTTCTTGTGGAAAGCCATCCCTTGTAAAACATAGTATACTGTTCAATATGTTTCTTAATTCGAAAAAAGGTTCACTCAGGATGGATCAAAGTCATATCTAGATACCAAGAACAGTGTAATATGTAATGATAGCGAACTTGAAGAAAATAATATTGGATGGGTTACACATGACAAGTTTATCAACAATAATGTAACGATAAACATCTGGCTTTTTCTTTTACTATGATAATATCGCGATCATGCACGTTTTCACGTAAGGAGCAATAGGTCTGGCCAATGTTAAGAAGGAATATGTACGATTTGACTGGCAAATGAAAACAGTATTTTGCATTCTTTTAATTGATCAAAACAAGGACGCAGATTGAGCCAAACTTATGTGCCTCAGCCGAAAGACCCCTGAAAGCAACCGTACAATAAACCTTTGAAGCTTTTACGTCATATACTGTATAAAAATGCATTGTATGATATGTTTTTCTTCAAAACACTGCGGATTTCTATTGTTTTCAGAAATCTATTACATCATTGGTATGCGGAATTATGAATTAGGGAAAGTACCTCTCTGTTGGATGCCTCTTTATGATGTTTATTATGAGTTTTATCATTCAAGAGCCTACAAGTTCAGTGCCTTGCCAAAGATGGATACTTAATTAAAACCAGTTTTAATAATGCCAGTTCTTTTTGAAGAAGAAACTGCAACAGACACTACCTCGACTACTTCTTCCGAGGATGAAGGTACTTCAGAAACAGTGATTTTAAGATGTTCATAATGTAAAGAATTTGTGATGAGAATTAAATTCACTTTTAGGCAAAGGTTTCAAAATTTTTTAAATTATATTTATGCACATCGGTGCTCTTGTTCCTCTTGTCTCTGCACGAAAAAAAAAGGAAACTAAGGTAAAAACTGTCCAAATTTGTCCCCAATTAATGCTTACCCAGAAATTTCAACCTTGTAAGCCTATTCAACACGCACTCTTATGTTTTAAGAAAGTAATAACAAAGTTAATAATGTACATTTGGTAAAAAGTGTCAATCTGCACTGGTTGCCGATACATCCTAGGCTTGAATTCAAGATCCTACTACTCACCTATAAATGCCTCCATAACCAAGCTCCGTCATACCTGCCTGATCTCATCAAACCTTACAAACCTACCCGGAAACTACGCTCTTCTACAAAGTCTCTACTACAGTCAAACTATCGTCCTAACACTCAATACTATGGTGAACGATCTTTTTCATTTTCTGCATCTAAACTATGGAACATCCTACCTGAACATATTAAAACGTTTCCGTCTTTTGACAGTTTCAAATCTAGCCTAAAGACATTTTTATTTAGACGTCATTTTTATACTAATTAATATTTATTTATGATTATTGTTAACGCAATGTGATTTGATAATTGCGTCATAAAAACTTACGCAGTCTAGTTTTAGACTGTTTGAGCGATCTTTCAGATCTTTCTCTATTTTGTTATATTCAATTTGGAATCGTTTAATTAACAATCTTCCATTTTATTGACAGGTCGGTCTAGCTCACGAAAACGTCCTCGGAAACAATACAATATCAAAGTCAAGGGGAATGGAATTTATGCGATAGGTCCAAAAGCAAGAATTGTAGAAAATCACAGTCTTACTGATGGTTAGTATATAACAAATATTAACTAGTTTTCTCGAAATGCACTTTAAGTACTGAACTTTTACTGAAATGCCTGTATAATGTTACGTCTGCCTTAATAATTCACTGCTGGAAACCACTAGCTGTGTTTTATGTATGTGGTATAAAGTTCATGCGTGTGATAAACTAGGGATGTCCCGATTGGTATGAGAGCTGATGAATTATTAATGAACGAAATGTAGATGCAAGCCGCCAGGCGAGCATGGACACTATAATCTTGGATGCCCTATGGCGCACGATTATAAAACAAAAATTTTGTTTAAGTTGCTCGGTTTATAAGCATTTGTTTCGCTGCTACTTTTAATTTTTGAAAATAAATAGAGTTCTTAAAAGATATAAGTCTCTAGTCTTTTTCTGCGAGAACGTGTTGACTTTTTAAGACTTAAGCTTCACGTCCTGTTTAGATTTATCTTGTTTACAAGTTTTGAAATTCATTAGTGCATAAATTTTATTATGACGTCACTGACTGCTTTAGTTGTGTAGCACATGCGCAATAATGACGCTTCGGGTATGGTATTAAGGAAGCAATACTTTAAGACTTTTTTTTCACAGTGTGCCGAAGCTCCTTGGAAAATTTTAATGCATTCCTGAAGACTGTTGAAGCTTCTCGGGGTCCTGAAGATCAAATCGAATGTTCTGTTCTGACAGAAATTCTCCCATTTGTTGAAAGCAATCACATCCGAAAAGGAGGAGGCTGCAATGATTCTTTAGAAATTCTGGCCAAACTTGGTTCACCGACACTCAAACGACCAAGAATTGCTAAGCATGTTTTGAAGCTGCTAAACAAGTTGGTTTTCATAGACATTGGAAGAGGTATCACAAATGCGGGACTTGTTGAAACGCACAGGTGCCTTAGCCAGAGCATTGCTGATGGAAGCTTTTCAGGAGAATTGTGCCATGACCAGAGACGCCGAGCTGAGGTCTACTGTAATGTTTTAGTAGCGATGACGATAGGACGAACAAGGGGACATTTTGCATATCCGCAATCAGAGACGGACAAGAAGGAAATAGAGCTGTGCATCACAGGGACTGAAACGATCCTCCGCTGTTGGTCTCTTCCAAGAAAGTATCGTAAGCGTCTTTCTCTGGAGATGATCTTAAGCCTCCTAAAGCGTTCCCTAAAAAGAACCTCGATTCATGAACGATTGAAGCAGTTGCTGGATAGGTGTGAGTTAATGATTGAAGATGCATTTGTTGAAGAAGACGTTTCTTTCCTGCTCAATGAAGTGAGGTGTGCTGAACATGGCCAACTTGATTTATTCATTATTGCCAAGATGCTTCATGCTAAGGTATAGGTAGTCACAATTATTCGATTTAATAAAAAAATAGTTCACCTACTAGGCCAGAATCAATTGTATTTTCTGTTTCTATGTTATAGATGAAAAACCAACCAAGTACAAAAGCCTATCAAATCTTCAAAAATATTACAACAAATCATGCACTATTTTCCCCTTCATGGACCATGAAACGTGATCGATATGATTGGCACTTTGTACTTCTTGCTTGTCAGATATTTCTGGATGTGACAACCAACCATAATGTGAAAGGTATGCTTTGTTTTAGCCTGGGGTGTTTAAAAAATGTTTTATGTATGGACACTAGTTGGTTTGGGACAGGAATAGCTGGTTTGTAGTCCTACCAACACGCATTCATTTATCTTTATCTTATCATTTATCTTGGCGATTCCTGCTAATACGCGTTAAAAGCGTTGATGATCGATGTTTTGCGCTTCAGTAAGATCTAGCTTCATGTGTAATTACATATGTGTAATTTATATTGAACTTGCAATCAGTATAAACATAAATATACCTTTTAATAAAACGTTGTCATAAAAAATATATGCTTTATATATTATTGTATGAGGAAGTAGCTGATCCCATTAAAGTGTAGAGCTAGTTATATATATATAATATCAAAGAGGCAAGATTTTGCTGTTACTCTTTATATATTAGTGTAACAGGAATAAGTAAAAATACAGAAGACAACCTGGCTAAACACTTTTTTATATTTCTTAAATTTATGTATTTTTTGGCACTCAAAAGTAGAAATTTTCTACTTCTTCAGGACAACGTTTTTGTAACAAGGTACATCATATTTTATAGTAAAAGGCAGATAGAAGGACGATTTATTTTCAAATTATTTCATTTCTAACCTTTATTAAGAAATATTTAGAATACTTATTATGTGTAATATAATAGCAATTTCCTTCTCAGCGACTCGATTAGACGCCGCCGAAATGCTGACAAGCTTCCGTGACATTAAGGCTTACGCGAAATCTATGGTAGTATGCAACATTGTGGAGAAATACATTACTAAAGCCACGTTCGCCTTTGATGTCGAATCACGACAATATCTAATGGCCAAACGCCACGAAGATGAGGAGAAAATATCGTTAGACCTCCTCCGCAAACAAATTTGTGCAGTCCACGCCACAGGCTACTTGGAAATTGTCGAAAAGATTTGTCAAACTGAAAATCACATGTTGATGAGGGGAACATTCCTCGATAAGCCTGTCACTGTCAAAGCGAAGTCCATCTCTTATTCAAGATTGGTTGCTTCACACAATGACAAAGTGTATGCGACTGAAAGATTCATAGAGAATCAAACCAGTATTTGGCGATATCTCAGTAGAGAAGCAAATGTGCACGTGCCCCTTTTGCATGCAGATGACACCAACAAATTTCCCAATCATTACATAATGGAATATGCTGAGAATGGTGACTTGCGCAGATACCTTTTATCTCGTCGTGAAAGGAATACACCGTCATACAGAGAGGCTCTTCAAATTTGTCTTGCAAGCGCAAAGTCAATTTATTTTGTGCACCAGAAGTACGTTGTTCACAATCATCTCCGTGCAGAGCACCTTTTGGTCGGATCAAATCACCACTGCATAAAAGTGTCTGGTTTCAGTCGAGCAAGACGACAATCCAGCAAAATTGAATTCGAGAAAGAATTCAAAGTAGAAATCCTAAATTCAGATGACCCGTCAATCAGATGGACAGCTCCATGGGGTCTTCAAAACGATGGTGCATTGTGTTGCAGCAGATCTGATATATGGGCATTTGGTGTCGTTATGTATGAAATCATTACTTGTGGTGGTTTGCCTTATGCCGATAAGAGTCTGGAAAAAGTTCGCAACGACGTAAGTAGGAGAACGATACTCTTTTCAACTGATATATTACATACAACCGATTGATAATTGAGTTGTCATTCATGACTTACTATTTTTTTGTCTAAAAAGGTGCTTGCTGGACTAAATCTCTCTAAAGAACAGCATGTGAAAGACGGATATTACTCAATCATGCAGCGTTGTTTTGGAACGGAATCAATTTCATTCTCGCAGATCTGCTCTGAGCTACAAAAACTGATTGATCAGTGTGCTGTTGAAGGTAAAAAACGTACCAATCATAACATAAAATAGATAAATGGGTGTTATGTAAAATGTATCCAAAATTTAAAAAAATAAATGATTTTGAGATCTGGGGCTGTTGTTGTTGTACAAAAGGTTGGATAAAGTTATCCGGCGGTTAACATGTACACTCATTAAATGTTGTATGATATTTTAGTCACTGGATAATGATTTACCAGGGGATAGTGCTTGTAAAACTTCGCATTATCGGCCCCTGGCCTTAATTTTAATAGTAATGTTTATAGATACCAGATACACCTTTCGAGAAGATGTAATGATCTGAAAGTCAACATCAAGAGAAATGTGTCTCTTTAATTTGTCTCGCTCTTGAAATGTTCACTTTAAGATGGTACTCTTTCTTCCTTTCTAGGCAGATTGCAAGCCGATTGGCAATCTAAACACGTATTGACTTGGTTGTGTGAATGAACTTGAAAATCGATTTTCTTGTTTATATACAAATTCTTGTCGAGTGCTAATACAATCTACTTTTTTTCTACTCCTTTGTCTACTACTTTGTTAAAAGCAAGATTACACGGTTGAAAAGCTAGCTAAATTGTTCTAGTTGTATAACAGGATTCAAGCAAAACACTTAAATGGCGAACTGACAACCTCGTGGGTTTTGCTCCGCAGGAGGCCACAGGAACCCCGATTCTATACCGTGACAGTTTCACTATAGATTGGAATTTTTCATAGTTTCTTTAGCTTTAAATGTTTTCTGTTGAATTTGTATTTTGATCTATTTTTCAGATGATCGTCCTATGGTCATACCTGAAAACATTTCTACCGTTTACAAACCGATTAATGAGGAAGTACAACAGAACAGCACTCAAGAATTCTGCAAGCCTTTTCCAGCTAATAAAACTATTGAGAACCTCTCTACAGTTTACAAACCGATTAATGAGGTAGTACAACAGAACCGCACTCAAGTATTCGGCAGGCCTTTTCCAGTTAATGAAACTCAATCAAAAGTAAGTTTAAGCAACAATGCATTTGATGCATACTTGAGAAGCTACAATAAAATCATCGACAATGAAAATTTTGAAGACTGACCAGAATTTCTATACTTTCTTGCCTGACCCAAAGCCCTTCCCTCAAGTTGTGCTTTGAAGATACCATATCATACACATATGAACTTGCTGAATGCACTTTGGGTGCTAAGAAGGTTGTTTTGGGCCGGTGGGGGTACGAGTGTTTGTACAATGAGCTATGGCGCATTTCTTCTTCTCCTTTTTGTCCAGATTTGTGGAATCATTACATTATTATTATTACACATTTCCTTTTATGAACAAGGGGCCGATTGGCGTGCGCATGCGCCAGTCTGTTGAAAATTCATTGAAATTCATTAGTGATTCACTTCAAGCGAGAAATTACAACGAAGGAAAATTTCCAAAAATGTTTTTGGCTGTTTTTGACCCTGAAATGTTCTGTCATGACTCCAGAACACTCATAAATAGTGTAACCTACAACGAGGAAAAACACTGGCGTTATTGGACTGATTGGGACCGTTTAAAAATCTTATTTAAAGGGCTACTTGGATGAAAAATGGCGAAACACTGGAAAAGGCACGAAATTCTTGTAGACTTATCAATAAAGATCCTATAATCAAGAAGCAATGGATTTTGACAAGATATTGATGCAATTTCTTAGGAATTTTGTCAAAAGATTTTGGAGTATATGACGTCATATACTACATCCTTTTGTTCTATCTTAATTTGAGTAAAAAAAAAATCTGCTTTGGAATGACATTCATAACAAAACTTTTCTCTGAGAAGGTATTATAGGTATATATGAATCATATATTTGAATTACACAGAGTTCTGAAATTAGTGCTTCTTCGTGCAAGTAGCACTTTAAGAAATGTTGATATTAATGACTTTGTGTTTACAATATGGAGGCTGCAGTGGTTTATATACGCAACTACTATTCCAGTTTTTGTTGAGTGCTGGTCAGGATTCAACGCAGGTCATGAAGTAAATGGTAAATGTACACATGTAGTAATATAATTAGGCATCGTTTAGTAACATCGACCTCGAAATGTTCGAAAGACAGTTTCTTGAAGTGTACAATATTTACGCTTAAATATTATTAACTGTTACATGAAATACTACTTTCCTTTTATATACMACCAGGACTCATTAGAATAAGACTACCAATATCAAGAATTATGCTTTGCAAATGGTTTGATAATGTTTTCTTGTCTATGAAAAATGTGGAACGGTGTTAATTCTGCAAATTCTTACGTGCTGTTGAGCACTCACGACAGATTTAGCATTCTTTTGGCTGAAGAGTTGAGCTTGTTTGAATCAAGTTATCATAAATATCTAAGTGTAGTTCTATAACTGTATCATTATAAGTTATGAAATAAACTATTGCAGTGCAATCGATTCACATCTTAGGAATTTATTATTGCTTAAGGTGTGCACAAATAATTCACTACATTTTAATGGTACAAAGTGGCTTCGTGTTATAAATCTAGCCCGAGACTCACAGTAATTTATATAAAGTGTGAAAAATATTCGTGTGCATTGTAAATATATCTACTTGGTTTTGTTTGGAAAAATGTGGAAGAATTATGTTCAGAATTATGTTCAGAATCGAAGCTTCCGCAGCTACTACAATGTTATTCTACCCGTATTCTAGAGCCCATGATCGTTATAACGCAGCGGTTGCGCGCATGCTCATGCATAAAGTCCTCTTGTTCCTTTTATGGACATATATGGCTAATTTAGAATTTGAATCCTTTTCATATTTTTGCTTATCTATAGCACGCAAAACTACAAATAGAATTATATATAATATTTAAATTCAACCAACAGAGCCGATTCGAGATCCGACAAGCAATTCTTCAGGATGAGAGTATTCACCATGTCAAGAAACTAACAGCATTGTGCCACCCACATCTAGTAGAGATTTTAAAAGTGCAAAAGAAATTAAACAATGCAAGTGTCATTGTAAGTATTTCTCACGTTTTAAAATGGAAGCACATGCATTCGCAGTCTTTGCTTTCAAGTGACACGTCATAGGTGCATGTGATACTATCCGGAAGAGAGCAAGTGTTTATTTATTTATTTATTTAATCTTTTAAATTCTTATAGCTTGCTTATTTAGTCGATAAGTGTTTGTTTAATGTTTCGTTGTTAAAACAAAGACAACGGATGTAATATTGTCAAGGCTGTTATTGGAACACTTTACAACCTTTCGACTTGTCAAGGAACCGCTGGTTCATATTTTGTAATAGCCATGCAACCATGTTTAGAATGCAAATGACCTATAATGTATATATTTCATCTCAACTGCACAATCGACATGCAGAAACAGAAATCCTCCATTGATCTTGATTGTTGATGATAATTTGCTATAACTTTATACGGTTGTTCCATTTTTTGCAGAGCTATGAACACTTTTCTGGACAAAGACTAGGCGATCACATCAGAAGCAAACCATGTACAGTCGACGACTTGATCAGTTTATGTGCACAAATATGCTCAGCAATGTGCTATCTACATTCAAAAGACATTGTTCTCTGTATTCTTACCATGAACAATGCCATCATTCTCAACGGAAGACATGTAAGAAGATCTTAGCTATCTTGTTCAAGATTATTTGCTGCGAACAAAGAGAGTAGATTTGCCATGTGATGGATCTAAACTAATTACTGACACGCCTTTCGGTTGGACAAATCAATGTAACTCGGTTAACGCTTTAAACTCCATATAGAATCGTTACCGTTTCTTTCGAATTACTAATTTCTTGGTATGTTGTTTTGAATGCTTCTTTTATTTTGGTTAAAGGTGAAACTAGTGGGTCTTCAGAACACAAGAAGTCTTCCGACATCGCATGGAAGTACAAGCAGTCCTATTTGCACTGCTAGAGTAGACGTACAACAGTACTTGTATCGCTGGTATGTTTGCTAAAGTGTTTTCTTTATATACACAAAAGAAAGAATTAACATGGGACTAAGAACAGATTTGAATTTCCGAGCTATGTGGAATAACTGTTTCATCGTTCCCTGTTTAACTTCGTGCTCTCTACAAGTATAGAAATTGAGGGTTTTTTCTTCTTGAAATTTGTCGGACTTGGACCTTAAAGGAGTTTCTAAACTTCATATTGTAGGACGTCAAAATATTTTCAACTTTTACCCCTCCTTTGACACACAGAAAACACAATGTTTGTTTCCTCAAACATTGTATTTTCTGTGTGTCAAAGGAGGAGTAAAAGTTGAAATTATTTTGACGTCCTACAATATGAAGTTTTTTTTTTTTTTCATTTTTTCATATGTTAAATAAATGGCAGCATTGCTTCTATATCATATAGGTACCCCCCAGAGGTCATTCAAGAGGGCGTTTTCTCAAAAGAAAGTGACATTTGGTCATTTGGCATGCTAATGTGGGTAATTCTTTCTTCCCTCGATGAACTGTACGACAAACAAGATTTGAAGCCATTTCCGTTGTATAAAGACAGCGAGGTGTGTATATTACGTCTGTTTACTGACTAATATAATTGGAAACTTCTGTTGCGTGGTACGCTATCGAATATATCAGTTACTTTTAGGTTTTCATTTTTCCTTTTTGGTTTACTTATAGATTCTGGGGAAATTAAAGTGCAATTCCCGCCCATTCCAGACGCCCAAGTGTCCAGATTGGATGTATGTTCTTATGACACAGTGCTGGCTTTACAATGCCAACGAAAGAGCTTCATCCGAGTCCATTTTGGAATGTTTAACACTAAGGTACATAGAAGGACGTTTTTTCTTTAAAATGACGGTCAACCATAATAAGCCTTGTAAAGAGGGGCTTTCGATCAAAGTTTATTCAAATTCAATAATTGCTCTTGCGCGTCGTTTCCTTAAATTTTTTAAAAATGTTGAATCAAAGGTTTGCATGGTCTTCGTCTTTTTCTTGCCAGTTTTTAGGCCTACCCATACTGCAGCTTTTGAAAGGTCATCTGTATTTCTCTATAGAAGCTTGGCACTACTTGACAACAGAGATCAACATTGCTCTTACTATATTTATGAATTTTGCTAATTATCTATCACCCTTATAGCGCAGCATTCCCCTGTTTACATATTTACAAGCAGTAGTCTCCTTAATGGTTCCATACGCAATCATGCATTTTTGCGCCGAAGCGAGACGATGTTAAATACCTTCTTTCAAACATACAGACAATAGTTCAAATGTCTATCATTTCACGCTCGAGGAGACGATTGAAAGTTCAAAAATGCTACACTTTGTGTTTATTTAATGCATTTAATTCGCTTTATAATTAATATACCAGCATTACCATACAATACCGTCGATTTTTACGATTCACAAAAAATTTACCTACTACCTGCAGATGTCCATGGGAATCTAGTATTCTCCAAAACTGGCTTGAAAGGCATGAAGTTTGCGAAAACTGGCCTGTCCTCAAAGTTGACAACAACGTTAAACAAAATAGCGGTGGTCAGTTAACTGCTCCAACACGTGGAGATGTCATGGAGTCATTATCGGAAGACTTTTTTGGCGAGCATAGCTACCACTACGCTCAACCATCGTGGAGTATTCGAAGAACGCTTAAAAGGTTGGGAAATCATATACTGTCAATTGTTCCAAGAATAAAGTCATCTTCAAAAGTGCAAAAGACACCACCAACAGTACCATATTCAAGAGCGTCATCAATGCCTGCTCCCGCCTTACCTGATGAAGTAGTTCACGTTAAATTCCAAGAACGTTGTTATGACCACAAAGAAGGACCAATGCAAATCAACGGAAACAAGAGCAAAGGAATTATTTTCGATCAGTCTGAGGAAGACGATGACAAATATCAAATACCTTGCCAGAGCTTTGAGAAAGCACATTACGCAAACTTGTGCAAACCAACAGAAATTTGCCAAGAAGAAGGAATGCTGATCGACAAAAACAAAAGCAAAGAAATTATCTATGAACAGTGTGATGAAGACATAGACAAATATCAATTACCTTGTGAGAGCCTTGAGAAACCACATTACGCAAACTTGGGTAAACCTACAGAAAGCTGCGAAAAAGAAGCAGTGCTGATCGACAGAAACAAAAGCAAAGAAATTATCTATGAACAGTGTGATGAAGACGAACACATATATCAAATACCTTTTGAGAGCTTTGAGAAACCACATTACGCAAACCTGGGCAAACCTACAGAAAGCTGCAAAGAAGAAGGAATGCTGATCGACGAAAACAAAAGCAAAGAAATTATCTATGAACAGTGTGATGAAGAAGGCGTATATCAAATACCTTGCCTTGAGAATCTACATTACGCAAACCTGGGCAAACCTACCGAAAGCTGTCATCAAAAATTTATTACAAATTCAAGGGATAGCTCGATCACACCTTACGCTTGCTCGAGACCATGTATTGCACGTTGTTCCTTATCCGCAGAGCTACAAATGGAAAACTTACTCACCGTTAGTGAATCATCAATTCAAGAACCACCATCAGAGGCGTCAATAGTCAAGCAAGATTCAGACAAAGACCGACTGCTTTATGACGATGTTGGCGTGTATGATTCAGTTCCAGAAACATCTCTAATGAATGATAGTTCTGACGAATGCAACATGGAAGGTGAAAATCAATCAATTCAAGAATTGTCATCATTCCAAAGCACATGCTCTGCCCTTGGATCAAGTGAAATCCTGATCGGCAACTTTTGAGCAAGTCTCTGGAAGTCTGAGCATTTCTTAACACGCTGTAATTTTTATTGTCACTGAACAAACACGATGACGTCATATTTTTTTCTTTTTGGAATGCAATTAATCACCGGTCACATGATCACGAAAATACTTGTATAAAAAGTATAAAAGAATATTGTTAAATTGCATTTGTAGATACAACAAGATGATAACGTGAAAGTAAGCCAATAGATACCAATGGTCAAAGTATAGTTCATGTGTAATCATGGCAAATACGGTTAACAATAAACAGCACATTTTCTTCATGAGCAGTTTGTTTTATTGATCCTTCATGGCCAGAAATTCCGGACATTTGAGCCAGCGGGTCAAATGTCAGCGGGTTTTCCCACCAAAATAGAACTTTCTACAAGTTCCCTTGAGGTTTGAACTTTTGAAGATCAATTTTTCTATTCTTGTGCAACGATCCTTTATCTTAATACAATACTGGGCTAAAATCGAAACGTTCAAAACATCGACAAACGAGTATTGGGATAGCACGCCCTGATCCTTGAGTTCATTAGTGGCTTGTGAGGTGCTCGTTTGGAATGTTCATAGTGTAAATAATATTATTTGCTGGAAGACACGTTTGCCTCAGGTATTTCAAACAATGATCATCAGTTGATATTGTGATCTTTTGTTTATACTTGTACATTTCTAAGGAATTTAAAAGGTCTGACATTGTTTACCCTAAATAGCGTAGAATTGATTGGTCTATCTTTCGTTCGCATTTCCCGCTATTTACCAGTGCGCGCAAGGCGCCAGTAAAAACCGCCAAAATTAAAGCGTTCCCAGTCTGAAATCCACGTTTCTAAGGTTTGATACCAAACATGGCGAATAAAATGGAAAGAAAATGGAAGATAAAGGCYAATTATTCACGTGAAACACGAGTCGTCGCCAGCGATTTCACCGTCAAGTAAGTGTTTTCAAATTGTACGATTTCTAGTACCAAAAAGAACGCTGTTTATCGTCTTCAAAATAACTGAATACCGCACATTCCACCCCACTGCTCGCCCCTCTTTCCATCAAGCCTCCAAGATGGAAGGAACATCAAATAAACGCMCCGCGGTACGGATTGGACTAAGGCATTTATTACGGCAAAACAGTAAGTCTTTACCTCCTACTTCTTGCATGACATACCTGTAATAGTCCTCCATCTACGCTCTAACCCCACACTTCTCACAGATTCGCTGAAATCCCGCACATCCCGCGTATCGCATGAGATGTCTTTATGCATTGAAACACGTTGATATTCATCACTACCAAGTGTTTCGGTTCCTGACGATTTACTCTTGGTAGTCCAATAAGCCTCCCTCGCTCCTTCCTTATATTTAACCACGTCCTTCCCACCAGAGAGCGCTACGTGAGAATCAATGAGCTCATCAGCGTGACTTGAATTTAGAACACCCATCTTTACTATGTACGCTTTGCACTTTCATTCTTTCATTTATCTCCTCTTCTCCCCATTATACCCTTCATTATACCTTATTTCTACAATTCCTTCATTAACATGTTGATCATCGTCTCATACTCTCTTGTTATTTTAAGTCCACCTCACATATACTGTTTCATTGTTCAAACACGCCCTACACGTTCAAGCATACATACTCTTCTTTTCGTTCCATACTAGCCGCTATTATTCACACATACATATTATCTACATCTTATAGATTATCCTTAATTATCCTTCATTTTCCTTTTTTTATTTTTTATTCATCTATTTTATTCATTTATTTATCTATTTATTTATTTATCTATTTAATTGTTTAATTATTTAATTATTCTATTTATTTATTWATTTGTTTATTTATTTATTTATTTTTAATTTTTAATTTTATTTATTTATTTATTTAGCTAACTATTTATTCTACCTCATCGGTAATTTCATGGTTCAACAGCATCGAAAACAAACAAGACCACAACTTCATTTGTTTTGACATTGTGGAATTCTATCCATCAATAACTAAAGATTTACTGACAAAAGCGCTCGATTTTGCATCCAACCATGACGTGATCACAACCGACGAGAGGAAAATTATAATACAAGCCAAAAATTCTCTGCTGACTCACAACCACCAACTATGGCAAAAGAAAAACCCTACGCCTTTCGACGTAACCATGGGAAGCTTCGACGGCGCTGAAACATGTGAACTAGTAGGGTGCTACCTTCTATGTAAACTCAACGCAAAGTGCAACATCAACGTTGGTTTATACCGTGACGATGGCTTAGCTGCTATCAACGCATCGCCTAGACAAACAGAGAAGATCAAGAAATCCATATGCGAGATCTTTAAAGCAGAAGGCTTGACAATAAYCATCGAGGCCAACAAGTCCACAGTGAACTTCCTAGACGTCACCTTCAATCTCCAAGACAGCTCTTACAGGCYCTATACCAAACCTAATGCCAACCTGCTGTACGTTCACAAGGACAGTAACCACCCCCCCACAGGCACATCGGCAATCCCTTCAGGAATAAATAGACGATTATCCTCTATATCCTCCGACGAAGCAGCATTTAACTCCGAAGCACCACCTTACCAGCAAGCCCTAGACKCAAGCGGATACAACTACACTCTAAAGTTCCAGCCACCCACTCCCAGACAAGACCGCAAAAATAGACCCCGTAAAGGCATYTTGTGGTACAACCCTCCCTACAGCAAAAGCGTATCCACCAACTTAGGCAAGAAATTCCTCCAACTCGTAGAGAGATGTTTCCCTGTAGGACACGCCATGAGGAAAATATTCAACAAGAACACCATCAAACTCAGCTACAGTTGCGTCAGTAACATGAAGCRGATCATCGACAATCGGAACAAGACACATCTTCAACCACCCGCTCGAGAAACCACTAGCRAAACAAAAACYTGYAACTGCCGAAGAAAGACAGAGTGCCCGATGAACGGATCGTGCTTGGAATCATCAGTCATCTATCAAGCCACCGTCACACGCGACGACAATGGAAAACGCGAGACGTACGTAGGCCTTACCGAGAACCAGTTCAAGACAAGATATAACAACCACAAGGCCTCTTTCCGCCACCGGCGACTCATGAACGCTACAGAGCTCAGCAAGTACGTGTGGTCACTCAAGGACAATAACATTCCCTACAAAATCGCGTGGCGCATAATAGCCCATGCTAAGCCTTACTCGAGCTTCAACAAAAGATGTAATTTATGTTTAACCGAGAAGTTCATTATAATTTGTWAGCCGCACTTATGTTCACTGAACAAAAGAAACGAGCTAGTTTCCGCGTGCAGGCACAAACATAAGGCATTACAATGTGGCGCGTGTAGTATAAATACCGTGTAAACTTGAACTTAGCTCAATAAACTCCTGAAGATTGAGGCTTTGCCTCATGAAACAGGCCTGTAGAGGTTTGACGAGTTTTATTCATAAACTCTCTAAATACTTCAGCTCTGCCTAGCATCGAGCGCTCTACGTGGAGTAACTCCGCCAAATTTTACAGATAACTATTTATTCTATATTTTTCTTCATTTCATTTATTATACCTTATCATTATCATATACCTGGCTTTCCATATTACACGTTCTTACCATAAAACTATACACACATACACATTTTCTACATCTTATAGATATACACACCATAAATTTTAATTATCCTCCATTTTTCTTTCTTCCTTTTTATTTATTTATGTTATGTTTTTCTTCATTTCATTAATTATACTTTATCATTATTATATACCTGGCTTTCCAAATTACACGTTCTTACCATAAAATGATCTTTGAAAAATCAATGACGACATGTAAGRAAACAGRATCAGCTACGGCAAAATTTCGCTTCTTCGCAAATTTTCACCATGAAATAMAAAGGGCAAAGGAGAAGACGAAACAATCTCGTACCCCGAGCCTACGTTTTTCTTGGCCAGCGCCGTCAAAAAACACTAGACTCTGGGATAACGGAATTTTTACTATGGAGTTTTGTCGTCCGGTTTSCACTGCGCATGACTCGTTATCCAAATGGCTTTCGATCGAATTTCCTCGAGAACATCGCCTTAAACAAAATCAAAACAGGAACGTACAAAATCCTAAGTGATTGATCTACTTTCKAAAAAGTAAATTCGGTTAGATTATGGTCTGATCATATAAAATTTTGGAATGTTTTCCGATCGCGACGGTTGGTCAGTCGGCGAGACAGTTCGTCGCGGCTAAATTTAACCGCATTACGATAATACATTTATTGATCTTGTTCATCACAATTTCCTAATTGAATGACTTAATAAATTATTTGTAAGCAAGAATCTAAGGTAAAATGTCGAGATAAAATATGGTGTAATTTCCTTGGTGTAATTTCACTTCCGGCGGCATTTGTTTCTAATTCAAGAACTAATCACAATTCTCAGAAMATTACGATACACCAGAGTCTTTCGTTTTCGGAGCTGGCCAAGAGAACGAATTCTCGGGGTACGAGATTGAAGACGAAAGGAGAAAAAATTGTCAAAAAGAACGCTCTTATAACATTTTCGGGTTTATTTGGCTTTCCTACAATGGAATCAAGAATAGTTTCCCTCTAGGATTTCATTTGGAAAATGTTCCAGGTAAAACAGATCAAAAGTTATTCTCAAATAGTTTTTTTGATCCGTACATTTCTTTGTAAAATTTAACAAACATGTTTTTGTGCTTTATGCGAAGTACCGCTGCTATTGCGGGCTCGTATGTCCGTATTTTCTGGACATGTCTAGATTTTCTTTAAAATCTTCCAATGTTCATGTACATATCAGTCGGTTTGAGGCAGAAGAATTCGTGTACAAGTTAGTGCGTGACTTCGTGTCAACATTATAATGTTTAAACTGTATGCATTTCCAAACAAATTGAGAATCACTTATCAATTTTCTTCCTGAAGACTCTAAACTTTGCACATAATTGGCTCGTTCACGAATCGTCATTTTGTTTTCTAGCTTTGAGTCGGAAATAATTGAAAGGAAAAACACGAAAGCTTTCTCGAACGCCATTTACTAGTTATCAACATCACACATCATTAAGTGCGAGTCATGTCTTAACACTGTAATAGCCACCTTAATAATTGCAAGYGACTTGAAAACGAACATCCAAAGCTAAAGGAAGACATTTGCGGAAAACCACACCCTAAAGCCTTAGGATGAACTGAGGTTCCTACTAGAAGAAGCTGGTAAGAAGGTAATAATTGCATGTCGAACTTCAGTCAGCCTCTATTAAGTTGACAAAAACAGATATAAGCCTGTACAGAAAGTTTCTTTATGCCCCAAAGCCATCAAATTCGATAATTGTATTGTATACACACTGTATTTTATGATATGTTTGTTGCATAAAACATTGCGGATTTCTTTTGTTTTCTCAATGAACTGAACAAACAATGCATTGAAAATCAAGTAGGTAAAGTGAAAGCTTCATAAATCTTTTGCATCATTGGCATGCGGGATTGTGTATTAGGGAAAGTGCCTCTAGATGTGAGAAAACGTTTATGGTATCCTATAAGCTATGTGATTTTTAAATATGATTTAAAAATCATTCAATCATTTTTTTAATATGATTTAAAAATCATTCAAGAGACAACGATTAGCCTTATCTTGCCAAAGTGATGGATACGTATTACCAGTTATGATGAATATATTAATCTAAAGGTTAGATATAAAAATATCTGTTTTGCTTAAAAAAAAATTACAGTATAAAAACATATAAAATTATCAGTTTAAAAATCTCAGTAAGTTGCATTTGTAAATTCAACATCAAACTCATGTCTATGGTTTCCATAAAATACAAGCTGATTTGAATTTTTTTAATATGTTTATTTTGTCATTCTTACTACAGATATTTTTAAGTTAGCCTAATTGCTGGCTATTTTTTGATCGATCCAATCACGCAGATGGGAGACTCTCGCATAGACGCCATATTTATCTGGTGCTGCACATCCGTATCCCCAGCTCGTTGCACCGTGAAGATAGAAGGCACCATTAGACTCGCACACCATTGGRCCACCAGAATCACCTTAAAAAATCGTTTGCGTAAGGTTATATCAACGTTAATAATGTTGCGTCACATCGACACAACATTATAACAAATAGACGTTAGTCTATCTAATTAAAAAAGCAAAGCGAAGAACTGATCCATTTATATCCACTATTTAGTTCCTCTCAGCTGTTGTGCAGTTAGTTGCCATTGGGYAGCTCTTAGATCATWAAATTTTATATTCAGCCTAAGCAAATACTTGATCTTTACCCTTGTTAGCCATTTGCCAAAAGCTGTAGCTTCCAAAAAAGAGAAAGCTTCCTTTTCTCAAGATAAAGTGCTGACGTTAATTAATTTCAGACCATCATTTCATGTCACTTGCTAAAAATCTATGTGAAGCACCAATTCCTTACCCTGGCAAGCGTCGACTCCTCCCTTCTTTAGGCCAGCACATACCATAGTTTTGTCAATCATGTTGGGATAAGAGTTTTGACAAGTAGCTGGACTTACAATAGGCACTTCAGCCTGTTGAAGAGTTTCCGGCTGTGAGCCACCTGAACTGAGTGTACCCCATCCTGTGATCCAACACTTGCTATCGGTAGCTATATCAACAGCTCTTGGTGGCAGACACACAAGGTTGGTGTATCTGAAGAGAGATTGATCCAAAATTAAACGATCAATGCAATGTTCTCTTTCAAAATAGTTGGGAAATAATGGAACTTAAATCGGATTTTCCTATCTCTCCATTTAATTCCTTTGTACTTTYTCCGTTACTATTCATTGAGATTTATATAATCTCAGAGTGAGACATGGTTCTTCTGTTCTTTTCTGAACTATAAATCGAAGAGCATYCCTGCTGCAAATGCGTGTGGTGAGAATCTTAAAAACTTAGTCACTTAAATATTTTAATTGGMCAGCTAAATGTATTGTTTAGTTTATATCTATTGATCGAACATAACTATATTGAACCCAGTATAGGGGGAACATCCAAGATTTTCCTCAGGAAGGGGTGCGGGGCTCGGGAGGAGGTGTAACCMACAAAAATCATTACAAAAAAAAAAWATATATATATATAAGGAAAGTAAGTTTTGAAGGATACCAAATAAGGGAAATATTGAAGGACTAGCTTGATCCATCCCTGCAGTACTACTTSTTTTTTAAACTACATTTGATTCATTTATAATAACAATTATGCTTACTTGTCCAGAGTTACGGGTTTCTCTAGTTTCAGCAATGCAATGTCATTTGAGTATTGTTTTGGATTTTGGTATGATTCATGCATGATTTTCTTGATGACTTTAAAATCCTGCTCTGTACCAACGGAACTCGTTCTCTTATGAGCTCCCATTCTATTAAAATATTAAGATATAAATTTAGAATTTGTGTTATAAATTAATTTMGAAAACGTAATATCTTTATTCGGGATAATGATACTGATAATAGTTATTATACTTTCCCGGTAGTGGTGCTATGTAGTGTTCACGTATCCCTGTATCATCAATTTTGCTTCTTGATGTGGATGATTTTGTTGTACGGTATAAGCATGCTTACACATAAGAACATTTAATTTGGGAGGCTATGATGAATTTTACAGTTGGTTTTGCTTCATGTAAATGTATGGATTTTCAATAAAGTTCATTCAAAACTTTTTKCAACAATACTCCGGATAGTTTCGAATTCTCTTTTGTACAAGCCTAGCTTCAATCAAGTATATATTTTTATTTTCTTCTTGTGCACAGATAATTGCATTACAATTGATTCTCTGCTGAATAAAAAAAATGTATTACATGCTTTCGAGGTTAGAGCTGCACAAATAAGATTTGTAGGAGGGCRATGGTTTGCAGAATCGCTCAATCATATACTACATACAAACCACAGCAATATACTGAATCTTAGAAATGGTAATTTAATTAAACACCGTGTAAACATCGGCCTCAGTGAGCCGACACTCATAAATATATACCTTATATGAATGTCAGATGCAGACAGACTAGACACACAGTGTGAAGCACTAACAACCCATTGGGGCGCCACCAAAGCACCCCCACAGAACTGTGAGCCAGAAGCGTATCGCAACAAAGCCTGCCATGGCCAGTCGCCATGATTRGCGTCCGTTCCACCAACTATTCGTGTCAAGGGTCGAATACCACATGAACCTATGGATGAAATAGAAAGTGATTTTGAGAGGTAATTACTTTATACCGTTCAAATCTTAGAAGAATGCTTATAAACCTTAGGTAGTGGAAATACAGGCTTAGCCACACATCGGAGAGAAGTCAAATTTCTAGAGCTATTGTTGTTTTTGGTAAAAGAATATTTGATTCAATTAACGGGAAAGTACCGAGGATCGAGAAGCATAAGAAAAAGAAAAATAAAGACAATTATGAAAAACTACGTACCTGACGGTGGAGGTGGTGGAGTGTTCGGAGGTGGAGGAGTTGGTGCCTGTGTAGGCGGTGGTGGCGTCGGTGCTTGAGTAG